CCCACTCTGTGGGATGGGTGACCTCTCTTTTTGCTGCACATGAGGTCAGTGGTGGTAGGAAAGATAGAAGAAGAAAGAAAGAAGGAAGGAGAAGAGGAAGATACACCAAAGTAGGTGTCGCATCCGGATCTCAGAGGATTGGGGTCTGTGTGCGACACCTCGTCTTTGAAGGGGTTGCACCTTCTGCAGACGAAGCAGTGGGTCTATTTATATCCCCTCGACCCACTGGGGGTAATACCCATTAATCTCGAGGAGAAGTCAAGATATTTGCGATTGAAGGGACATAAAAGGCGTTGAGCCGAAAAACAAAATTTTCATAAAAATTGACAAACTCTAGCAGAAAAGGATAGATCCTTTCCTGCTCTCTAACAAAGATCAGTCGTCTACTTTCATTTCCACTTTCTGCCCCCACCCCCCTCACTTCCTTTGTCCCCTTCTCTGGGCTCCTGACTCTTTCTGCAGCCTTTCTACTACTACTCCTTGGATCGTTCTTACTGCTGTCTTTCAGCCACACCCCTGATCTTATGGATGGAAAGATCTACACCTAGCCTTCTCGTTAAGGGCGAAAAATCTTGGAGGTCCTGTTTGCAAGTTGCGCACGTCAAAGATCCTTTGATGGTCAAAAATCGATAAGAGTAGGCTTCGGCCGCCACCCGGGCAAAATTAAAAATTTCCTTCCAATAGAAAATGTTTAATGTGCCCCGTGTACCCAGTTGTTAGCACCATAAAACTAAAGCTAGTCTTGACGTAGATCTAAGTAATGAATTGTGTGCTGGTATATGGAATCAAAGTTGCCGTATGCTAGGCTAGGCTCTACACAGCTACACAACTTTTAGGCAAACAATCGAGATGACACAGGCGTGCATTTGAATAAATCGGTCTTTTTTTTTTTTTGCACAGCTCATATTTTTAAATATGCAGGCATTTCAGGCACCACTTGTTACTTCTCTTTATACATTACTTGCTCAGTGCCTGTAATTATCTACACAAAACCTCATGTTGGCTATAACGAACACTCAGATTCAACGAGATTATAGGTCAGGCCCGGCGACCTCGTTGAATCTGAGTTCCACTGTAACAGCAGGTGCATCTGCACATACACGCATGCAAGAAAACAAACCCCTCTTTCCCTCCCCCCTTTCCCGATTAACCTTCAGCATTTCTTGAGAAGCAATCTTGACATCAACTGTCTTCAGGCCCATGCTCTCGGCTTCTTCTTTGGTCAGCTGAGAAACAGGAATAAAAAGTCAAGCATTAATTATATAGTGTCTGCGTCATTCATCAACAGATTTTTTTAGGTTTGACTTTACATGTACTTTTTGTCAAAGGACATTTGCATTCCTGTGCTTTATATATATATATTGCCAACAGGGCAAGGTGGCGAAGTTGCTATAAAGTTTTTCCTTGCAACTTACAAATTTAATTCAAATTTTTTTAACAAAAATATTGGCAAAAGCCTAAAAATAATAGCATTTTCAAAATCAGCGAAACACAACAAGCAGTAGAAATAAGCCGGGTGGTGTGTGCAATGTGCTTTATATACCTCTTCTGGTCAATTCCCCAGGGCAAATTTACACTAGTTTAATAAGGACCATACAACTTAAGGTATAAAGAGGTTTGAATGTACATCCATTATGCTGAGGTTTTACAGTACTTGTATACAATTATTCCAAGTTGTAAAGATGATAATACCCCCCCCCCCCCCCGGGATGGGCTACTGACTGACGTGTCTTTAGGCCATTCCCAAAGGGGGGACATTAACCTGTTCTTATGCACAGTAGAATTGTAAATGGGCTCATTCAGTCATTCACCTATGTCATGCTCATAACTGTGCCTGAACTGCAACAGGGAACTGCTGCTTTTTCTTTCCTAATCCTTACTATATATCTATCGTCATTTTCCTCTACTTCTTTTGTATGTTTGTCACACTCTTGGGACCCGCTATTTCCGGGGTGCCTTGATAGTCGAAGCAGCAAGCAGACTTTGTACTGTTGAAGCTAGAGAGGTAAGCAGAGTAAGTTTGATTCCCTGTAAGGATTTCTCTGTTGACATCCACCCCTTGGCGCTCATATGACCTTATTATGCAGTTGCGAGCACTGTAAAACCTTTACTAAAACAAAAACAAAAAGATGATAACCTAGTGAAGATACATACTGACTAACTCAAATCAAATAGCCTAAGTGCATTGAATAGAATCTTCATAATTTTGTTCCATAGAATGTGGCAGTTTCAAAAATCTTACAAAAATAAAACTAAATTTAGGACTGACTATAAATTTAACAAATATTTTCTTAGAAAGGGTAAAACCAAGTCATGTCAGCACTAGGTCCATTTGGACCATTTAAAGAAGCCAATTAGGGTAGTTAAGATCTAATACCTAGCCTTCTAGGATAGCGACAAAAAATCTTGGAGGTCCGGTGTGCAAGTTGCGCAGTTCCCTTGGCCGTTCTAAAATCGAATAGAGTAGGCTTCGGCCGCCACCAAGGAAAAATTTTTTAATTCCTACCAATCTGAAAATGTTCAACCCTAGCCGTACACCTGGGGTCATTTTGTACCCCCAGGGTTGTGCTCTTCACATAATTTTAGAATACTTCTAGTATGAAGACCTTTTTGAAACTCAGTATTTCTCAAAAAATCATTTTGACAGACTGCTATGCCAAGCATGAGCTCACCACGGAGACCATCCTAGCAAGAGGTGAAACTGGAATAACTTGGCTCACAAAAGAAGGAGGAGGAGGAGGAGGAGGAGGAGGAGGAGGAGGAGGAGGAGGAGGAGGAGAAAAAGAAGAAGAAGAAGAAGAAGAAGAAGAAGAAGAAGAAGAAGAAGAAGAAGAAGAAGAAGAAGAAGAAGAAGAAGAAGAAAAGGAGGAAGAAGAGAGTCACCATAAGTCTATGACATTTCAGGAGTGGACAAAACAATTTCAGCCAACATTCATTATTGAAATCTTGGGTTACAACCCCCGACGTTAGAGCAACTGGGACCTCTATATTTACAGGCAGGAGAGCAATCCAGTTCATTTTTCTTGAAGGTGCATTTCATGGAACTGCAGTTTAATTTACATAATATCTCACAGTATTGGAGAAGCACATATGGCATTGGAATCTTATCCATGTGAATTGAAGAGTTTACCAGTGTCAAGTTTTCAGCCCCAGCACTGTAGCTGAAAAAACGGTATCTGAAAGACCACTGCTTGACTTAAAGATACTCTCTTAAAGACAGAATGATACTCTGTTGCAACTCAGTCTTCTCGCTCCCAGAGGCCTTCACCCAGCCCAGTAAATAAACTAAACCTGAAACTTATCTAGGTCTATACAACTTATAAATTATTCTCTGAGCTATAGCACACCTGAGGGGGGTGAGAATAGCGAGACACAGGGTGGTTTCCCACTTCCTTTGCAAAAAGATTTTGCACTCATGTAAGATCGGTGACATCAAATGTGCACTTGGCGCCCTTCAGTCACATCTAATTGTCCTTTTTATGTTGTACAACTGCCAGAATGCCATTCAAACCTTCTTTTCTGCCAACTGCACAAGGGGTAATTCTTAAGAGGAAATTACATAGTAAACAAACATCAACTGAAAAGCTGCGACTGAGGGTGTGAGAAAACACATTTTTTATATACAGTGGAATCCACTTTTAACGAGTCCTGAAACAACGAGAAGTCTGTTATAAAGACACTATTCTGACTAAAGCCCCGATTTTTTCTCATCTTCATCTTTGTAAAAAAAATACTGCTACAGCGCAATCAGACAAACGAGCGAGTCGGTTATAGCGGAACATTGCCGCTGCTGTGCACACCGCACAGGCCAATTATACACAATGTAAAACCTCGCAAGTTGAGAAACTTGTTGGTGAACTAGCGAAACAAAGAATGGGAGAGCCCACGTGTGTCAACAATGAAGGCCGGAGCCAATGAGAGTGGGGAGGGTGCGGCATGCGCAGACAAGCAGAACGCATCGCGCGATAGGCCAGCCTAGTCTAGATTATCTACGCCTACCATGCCTCTCACTTCTCCGATGTGGGGATGGAGAGGTCACAGAACTGTGATGGATGGAGTGAATGTGTGACGTGCACAAGCAGACGGAACGAACCACAGGGTGTGGTTGGGTGGGGGACAACACAGCGGGCGAGTTAGCATTGAAAATTTTCTTTCTGATCGCCAACGAGCTGTCAACATCGCTGGCGCTCGCTAGAAAAAGAAAACTGATTTGATTTTTGATCAAGTATGACCTAGACGTCATGTTGAAATAATATCATCATCAGGGGAAATAACAAAAAGAAATAAAAGGAACACCAAACTCATAGATTAGGCCTACTGTATTATTTCCATTGAATTTATTATTGGATCCCTTATAAAGAGAATCCTGCTATAACGGACATTTTGTACAGTCCCCTCCCTCTCGTTATAACAGGTTTCCACTGTATATATATTGGCTTCCCATACTTTTTACGTTAAATCACAGATACCGGTGACAAGTACCTCATTTTCAGGAAAATCCGTACAAGTTAAGTAAACATTCTCTCGTCATAGCGATTTGGTCCTAATATAAATTTCTCTTTTTTTAAATAACTTTTTAAACGCATTTTTAAGCAATTTCCTCTACGATATTGTATGCCGATTTTAAAATGTAGTTACACACAATTTATTCTATCGAACCATATATATACATATATATGTTTTGTCTTTGTTGAAATCTTTTTAGGGTCTACACTTATCTTTCTTCAACTCAAAGGCGAGGCACCGACTCGTTAACCTTGGCACTTGCCAGCGACAGACTGAGAATGGGATGGGGAAGGGGAGTGAGCTGGGAGTGAGCGATCGGGAGTGGGGGCAGGGAGGTGATGCCCAGCGCGCGAGACGCTCTCGTCTGTGAGGCACTGCACTGTGTTGGAGACTACACTGTGTAGGCCCTACATGACCTACTAAAGCCTGGTGTGTCGATATAGGCTACTGGGCGGGTAGGTGGACATTAATTTAAAGAACTAATGCGTTGACCATAAGCATGGCTTTTTTCACCATTTATGTTCATGGGCTTCGCCAGAGCAGGTACCCAGGAAGCATGTCGATAAAGCAGAGTGGGCTGAAAAAAAGTCAATATAAGAGAAATTGTTTCGTGAAGATATTGAAAGAGTTTCGTAATTGGAAAATATGTCCTAATGTCAAAATGTCGATAAATCGGACGTCGATATAAGTGGATAATACTGTAATTTAGATCATTAATTACAGAGACCAGCTGCCTCTGTTACTAGTAGGTAAGATGTAACACCTAGTCCTTATTAAGGACAAAAACATACTTTGTGTGATGCTAAAGCTTTAAAGCATAAAGACAGAGATACCCCTCTACTAGATGAAATGCCTACTAACTTACCATCTTGCCTTTCCGAAATTCATAACGAAGGCTTGCAAATTGTTTGAGAAAGAATGATCCTCCAGCAACAAAGACCTGAAGAAGTAAAACCTAAAAGTCATCACACTCTACAATAAATCTGATGATTGTCAGTCAATTGTGCAAAATCAAAATTAAAAAAAAACACGGCAGAGAAGGGAAGTTGAGGTGGAAAAGGGAAGTTGAGGTGGAAAAAGGAAGGATGAGATCAGATTACAAGGAACAAGGCCAAAATTAAAGATTCCCTCCCAAAAGTCCTGTAATTTACAAGAAATCAATGAACTGGACCAATCACAGAAAGATGGCAAGTCTCAGTCCATCCCCCGAAATCAATGATACCTTCCTTGTTTCTACACATTACCTTTCCTTTCTCCTCATATTTATAAAATAGTTACACATCTCTTTCCTTTCTTCATTGTTTTTCTTCTGTAGAGTGATGTTATGCTTTTATGCAGTTCACATCTCTGACTTTGTATGATCTGTAATCTGTCAAGCCAGATTTCGCTACATTACTGAGATTTTGGCACAACCAAATTGGTCTAAAAGCAAGCATGTTGTCTCTATTGTATGCTTTAGTCTTTTTCACAGCGCACCAGCAGTGGAATTTTGTATTTGCAGCAGGGGGTTCCCCACCCAGCGCCTAATTACTTCAGGGTCATGGGATTCCCTAAAGCACAGAAAATAACCATTCCAACTAGGATTAAATCTCGAAACATTGAGCTTTTAGTAACACCAGTTTAATAGTTCAGTGTGACAAAAAAGCAAACTTCTTAACCAAAACCGGCAAAGTTCCTTCAAGGCTAACTAACCCCATGATCCTGGCCCACTGCTGAATCATGCCAACTAAAAGTCACAGAATCCGGCAAAAAATGATGCTGTGATTCATGCTTGCACAGTTTCTGTGATGAATGTGAACGGATGAATGGATGGGATGCTGGGGTCAGCATGACATGCAGTCTAGCACATGCATACACAGTAAAATTTACAGGACATGAAATTTATTTTGTTTTGCACTAATATGGCTAGATTCTACATGAAACGATAAAAATTTAGTGTTCTTTCAAGGAAGAAAACAGAGTATGACAGCTGGGTTAAAATTGTACTCAATTATTTTTGCCCCCTATGCTGGCATAACATGCATGTTAGGTCAAGTCTCTTCATTCACCTCTGCTAATAGGATAATTTGTTTTTTTCCTTGAAGCCTTTCCGCGTCTTTTGATCCTCAAAGGTCCATTATCGACTTCAATTTCACCAAGACTGAACTGACACACTAGCCTTGGCGACAATACTGGATACGTGCCTGCAGGAAACCACAAGCTTTTCACATGTAACTTACGTGAGCAGACAAGAAAGATCTACCATCAACACTTCCATGTGAATGCAGTAAACACATCTTTGGCCTATACTATTGCCCTCAGCTTAGCCTAAAACTATGTAGTGTAGATTCGGGTAACTTCGCCAGGAGGGGAAATTCGTCACCTGTCCCCCCCCCCGATTTAAAATGGGAATAATCCGATATACCCATCAAGGAAGAGTGGGACCAGAAACAATTCTTTGTCAATTGATCAACCAATCAGAAAAATTAATTGTCATGACGAAGAATAATTGCAGTGTTTTAGGAATGCGTCTTCCCGCTAAGCTTCCTTTTCCTCCTCTCTTGCCCTATCTCTGCTGCGCCTGCGCTATTTTTATCTTTCTGTGTCTACTGCTTACACTGCCGTTGCCGAACATAACTTTTTACTCAAATTATGTTGAAACAGGCTTTATTGATTAAAATATTATATTTGCTGCATTTTATTGTCGTTTCTATACATGTATTGTGTGCCCATTTACTGTTAAAAAATTGTGTTCGTACAGATCTATATCCTGTCGGGGAAATTTGCCACGCAGGTCTATTGATTTTCCATTTGTTGTTTTACTTAGATTTACCACTTTTATTATAGGGAAAACAAGCAAGGGAATCAATGACAAGTATACTTAAACTTTATAAAGTGATTTGGAGAAAGCTGTTGAAGCTGTTTTAAGTTGGACAAAGCTGCTCTGGGGCAGCCCAAGAATTTAGTGTTCCCAAAAAAACCTCTTGCCGACCATGTCTCTGGTCGATCTACTTTTGGAATAAGGGCTGGGAGGGAGAGAAAAAAAAATTTGGAGGTGCAGGTTTCCTTTTATCGAAAGATCAGTTTTTAATTGTGTTTAATAATCTAAATATAAAGAAATAAGATGATCTCCCAGTATGGCGAAGTTCCCCCCAAGGACTGACGAATTTCCCCGATATGGTGGCGAAGTTCCCCATCACCATATCCACTTGAAAAAAGAACGATGTAGGTGAAGTACAACAAGCAAGTAAACCAATCAGTGGGCTATATCTGCATTTTCATTGGCCATGAAAAGTAGCAGACGAAACTGGGATAATGTACAGTAAAGCATAGAGGGGGTGACGAAGGCTTAATTTTTGTTTCGTCGCAAGCCAACCGAGAGTGGCAAAGTTACCCGGATGTACTCTATGTTAAAGAATAGGTTAAAAAAACAAGATGGCCGTTACTATAAATATCAGCCCAAAAAATGTGGACTAAAAAAAGAAATCTGGTTTTTTTTTCATTTTAGCAAAGTGTTATATATGTGAATGCTCATGAGATCTAGATTCTAGATCTAGATCTATATTAGGTGCTTTTTCGGTAGTTCCCACCCCCCTTATTTGAGCCTAGATCTAGATCTACATCTAGATAGATCTAGATCTAGATCTAGATAGATCTAGATCTACATCAAGATCTATGCATTTGATGCGCGGCGCTCTAAGATATCAAACCTAACAACTGCAAAACATCAAATTATGGTAAAATTCAGGGAGGCAGGCCCACCTGAAACCCCCCACCATATTTTTAGGAAGTGCCTTTTTGCAACGCCGCGTTGCGATTAGCGCCGGTGCTAAATAAAATGCTGTGTTGCGATTAGCGCCAGCAAAGAGTCTACATAACAAGAGGGGCCACTTCTCTCTTTGAGCCAATTAAAAAAGTGTCCTCGAAATTCCGTGGCGCCCTCTTCACAAAAGTGCACCTTTTGCGAACAGAGTTACCCTACTTGAGTTTTAAAAATCAAAGTGAAACTAGCAAGTTTTTGAATAAATTTCTGAAGAACGCTTTTTTAAAATGGTTACGCTGACAAAAAACCTCTTCCGGAGGAAAGGGTGATTGTTTTCTTCGTTTAATTTGACTTTAGAATGAAAGGCTAGAAGTCATTAAAATTTTTAAAAAACTAAAACTCCACACTGAACGAACCCGAACTGCTGATGAACAGCAGTCGATCAGCGCACGCAAGGAGGTGCTTTTCCTATTCTTCTTCTGGAAAAACGAAAGAGAGCTTCAAAACAGACTGCGGCGCCATCTGAAGCAAAGAGCGAACTTCCGGCAGACACTTTTTTGGCTGAGTGGCCCATCTTGTTATGTACTATCTTTGGCGCCAGTGCTAAATAAAACTCTGTGTCGCCGTGTGTAAAATTATAAAGCTTAATCTACGCTTCGTTGTCGGAAGTTCTGATGGCCAAATGGACAGCGCGTCTGCGCTCGAAGCCAAACCTTTATTTTATGAACGTGGGTTCAAATCCAGGTCGTGGAAGTTTTTGTTGTTTTTTTTGTTTGGTAGTCCTCTTCTCGACTGACCAACACATTTTTCCCCAACTTGTTGGTTTGTAGCTTTTTAAATTTTTTATGTAGATCTAGTGATGAAGCATGCACATTCTGGTTTTGTCCCCAAGAGGACCTCTGTACAACGTAGACCTTAGTATAGTCTATACTTTTCCTTTTACCAATTTGGGATTTTAAGCCTGGTTAAAGTTCAATAGTGGCTTTCTTGGTCAGTGAGTCTAACTTTTTTTTTAAATTTAGACCCAAAAAAACCCCCTTCCCGACCTGGATTCGATGCCACGCTTGGAAGCACTGAACGTTAGACTTAGAGAACGTTGACAGCTTGTAACGTTTTCTCTAGGGCTAACATATTTTTAGGTACTCGTAGATCTATTACGACTACACTGCGGACAGAAAATACTGCTTATATGCCGAGTATCACCGTCTTGTTATTGTTATCCAAGCGTCTTTCGACTTACTTGCTCAAATTCAAATGATTATGATTATGAGACTAGACTACGTCTAGATCTAGATATAGTCTACTTTTGTGCAAACAATGCCAGAAACAATTGTTAGACCTAGATCTAGATAGATCTACCCAATATTGATCGGAGTAAGACAACGTCATAAAAAAGGAGTCAAATCATAGGAGGTTTATCAAGAAACTGAGAAAGCTTCCACAATTCAGGCAGAACTACAATATTATTACGAAGTGACTATTTCTCAGAACGTTCGGAGAAATAGTGCCAATCTTTATTTCTGCGAACTGTTTCCGGCTTCCGGTCTCGTGATTTTTTGCCTATTTGCGAGAGTTTGGCGCCAACTTTCATTTTGCCATTCTGCAAGGTCTGGGAAGGAGCAAATTTTTGCGTCTAGACGATCTAGACCTAGAATCTAGATCTAGAACTATTTCAATTTCAAGAGCTAGTGAAGAGATTTTTAAATGTCTGAAAATTCAGATAGTTAAATTGTGTTGGGTCAAGGTTCCCGGACTATGCCACGTTTAAAAATGCCCCCCCCCCCCCCCTTTTCCCAACAAATTTTTTTAAAAATAAAAAAACAGCAAATCAGAACAACAACAAGAAAAAAAAATTACACACCAACAAAATAAAACACCACAAAGAGGGAAAAATAAAAGAGGAACAGCAATACAAATCGTATGTAAACTGTACGTATTCAACAAATCAACGTGGTGATAACAACTGAGAAAGAGACGAAGTGAAGCTATGTGAAAATACTTTCTTTCAAAAAGTAAAGAGGTTCGGTTCCTTTTTTTTTTCCTTTTTTTTATAAGTTGACTTTTAATCCCCGATTCAGGGACCGAAAAATGACAAAAAATCGAGCCGCGATTGATTGGTCGTGGCCACGACAAACGCAATGCTAGTTTTATGTGTCAGTATCAATAACCCTCCATAGGTCTAGATATATCTAGATCTAGACAGCACACGAGTGAACTCAACACATTAAGTTTTTTTTTTGTTTTTTTGTTAGTGTTTTACGACGCTCGCAACTTGGTCATATGACCGCGCTGGACACATTCAACTTTTTCAGTTGGTAGGAAATTTTGAATTTTGCCCGACGAGTGGCGCCGAAGCCTACTCTTATCGATTTTAGACCACCAAGGGATCTTTAACGTGCACAACTTGCACACGGGCACTCCGAGATTTTTCGCCCTTGTCCGAGAAGGCTAGGTAGATCTTTCCTACCAGAAGATCAGGGGTGTGGCTGAAAGACAGCAGTAAGAAGAAGCCAAGGAGTAGCAGTAGAAAGGCAGTAGAAAGTAGAAAGAATCAGGAGCTCAGAGGAGGGGGGCAAAGGAGATGAGGGAGTGGGGGCAGAAAGAGGAGATGAAAGCAGACGACAGAACATTGCTAGAGAGCAGGAAAGGAGGTGAAAGGAGACAAATTTAGAAAAGAAAATTTTTCGGTCACTACCCGGATTCGAACCCGGGACCTTTGAATGAGTGCCCCCCACATTAAGTTTAAGAGCAGCACCCTTCATAGGCAACACATCATAGCTGTAGCAAAAAACTGTTTGGAACTGTAGCATTTCTTTATATATAAATTATTTACTGCGGACATTTTTTGGACAGATTAAACCATATTGTATACGAACAATCTTTGGTAAGTTTATAATATAAAGATCTCTATATGTTATATATATATAATATAATATAGAATCTATCTGAAAGTAGTAGGTACTTAAGTACGGGTAGACAGCCAGGCTAGCCGTACTTAAGGACGGCTAGACTATTAGGCTAGCCGTACTTAATATTGATGGCTGAAATGTAAATGAAATTTTTAGTTTGCAATGCCTAAAAAGTATTTGTATTTTAGACAAAACCAAAAGGTGCCTTACTGACTTACATGTATTTGAACCTGAATATTACTAGATCTAGATCTAGATCTAGATCTAGATCTAGATCTAGATCTAATGAGACCTGTACTGTATACTTAACAATAACAGGCTTGAGTCGATAGGGCCAAACCTAGATCTAAGTACGGCTAGACTCTCAGGCCGCAGCCAGACTGCGGATGGCGCTGGCCTGGGGCTGGCCTATGTCAGGGGGCTGGTGGTGCACCAGCCATGGTGCCAGTGCTGGTGTGTTCAGCTGGGGCTGGGCTGGGGCTGGGGCTTGGGGTAGAACTAGGAGGACGCAGGTCGTTGATTCGTGTCTCCTGTGTTAACATTCTTTTTTCTGAGAAATAGTTTAGGCCTAGACACGTGTCGTTTCAGTTTCAGTTCCTGCATCTTGTGTTTTTCATTTAAACTGCGTTATCTTCGTCTTCTCTAAAAGTCATTCTGACGATGAAGAAACCATAGATGTTTTTCTTCTTTTGAAGAAGCTATCGCAAAAGAAAAGATCATGGATTCACCCTCCTATCAACGCCAAAAGGAACTAAAGAGGAATTTTATGTAGACCTTATCCCCAACTGTGTGATGACGAGGAGAAGTTTTTTAATTACACATGAAATACCATACCCCCTACTACTACATGTAGGCCTAGGCCTAAATCTAGTACTAGGCTACGATACTACACGTCTATCAACTTGGCTTCAACCGTTCAGGGCCCAACAACTATTTCTATATCTAGAACTACACCTAGCTAGACCTACAATCGCCTACCTACATTAACTAATCCATCGGTTTATCTAAACCATACAGAAAATATTCACTCACATATCGGCAAACAATGTTTGAAGTCACGAAAACGTTACGAAGTCTCCGCCTAGCCGGAGATGAAAGTAGGTCATCGTATAAAATCCGTAAAATCGTGAAATAAAGACGTATTTTACCCAAAATGCACTAAATTTGTATCGAATAAGGTTGCAACCAATGCATTATTTCAATATATTTAACAATTTTGTTAAACCTGTCCGTAAATGTTGCCAAAATGCCAAAATGAATGCTGAATCGGAACTGCTACTACCAGCCTGGGGCTACGAAAAAATAGAGCATGCACTATCAGGCCTGGCGCCACGGACAGGTGAAGCGCGAGGCTGGACCTCCACCATCTTCGGTCTGGCCGGCACTGTATAATTACACGTGATTTATTGCCCAGCCACCAGCCCCGGGCCACCCCCAGGCCAGCGCCATCCGCAGTCTGGTTGCGGCCTCAGTCTAGCCGTACTTCAGTACGGCTAGCCACTTCAAACTAAAAATTTTAATTTTTACAATTCAGTAGGCCTATTTTTTTTTAAAGGTCAGTCTAGACATCATATTAAGAATAAGTACGGCTAGCCCAGCTGTCTAGCCGGCTAGTTAAGTACGGCTAGCCTCTTCCAACATTAAAACTGTCATCATGGTCAGAAAACATACCACAAAAGGAATCCCAAGTCTTATAAACTTCCTTTTCGAGTAAGCATCTAAAATCTTGCGAACACTGGATGCCATCGCTGCTTCCGTGTATCAAAGACTAGATCTATGGCTATGACTTTGTTAGGCCTATACTATAGTAACATCTAGATCTATAATCTAGATCTAGATCTAGATCTAGATTCTAGGCCTTGACAAAATCTATCAGGCACAGACCCTTGCTAGTTATAGGCCTAGTCGGTAGTCGGTAGATCTCAGCAGTCAGCAGTCAGCAGCACGTCTCGCTCTCTGACCAAACCAAGGAGCTTAGCCTACTTAGAACTAACTTAGGGCCTGCTTTTAATCTCCTTGGGCCAAACAGAAATTGCCAATTGCCAAGTTGAATTGAAACCAAAGAGATTGTAAATAGAGCTAGAGGTCTTAGCTGTGACGTCATGAGTGCTAAACTTGATGGGCGCGCCGCCATTTCAGAGTACTAAATTTTAAAGGATACCCAAACTCTTCCTTTTTTTAAACAGAGAAGCTATTCACCGTTGCTGTTAAGAAGATACTAAATTTGTTTAAAAACATATGGAGCCGCTGTGACATCTGCATTTAGACATTAGTAATAGTACATGTATGTAATGAGATAATATAAATCTAGATCGGTTTTAAAATATAAAGTAAGCCTACTGACTTGCCTAATACATGTATCAGCTCAGAATAAAACATTCTTTATTATCTAGAGTTCAGAGCGAGAGTTAGGCAGCGTGCAGTGCAGGTTGACCATGGCTCCGCTGCGAGAGAAGGCTTCTATCAATATCAAGCAGTGTTGCCACCCACAGATAGAGCAGCCTCTTATATTACTGTATAACCTCCTTGCTCCACATGTATATGGTCGCTTTTTTTAACATGGGGGGGGCTATCCCGAAAAAATGCTGTTCTGAGAAAATCGAAGGTAGGTTTTTTTGTCCCAAGTTCAGTTTCTTTAAAAGTCAATAAGAGTTTTCTCTATAACCAAACAAATACACACCAATGAAATCAAACTTCCCCTCTAGGTATGGCAATGCCCACTTTTGGTGTAGGTTATGATTTCTGGAAACTCCCAAAAACTGGGTTAACCCGCCTGTCCTTAAAAACGACAAAATAAATAGATAAATAATAAATTGCATTTACATAGCGCATAAGTGCTCAATGCGCTGTACAATAATACAACGAAGTGTATACAGACATGGTAACCGGGAACAAAGTCACGAAGTATACAGACCCGGTAGGGGAACTCTTTTGTGATTTCGGGAAGTTTCAACCCCCAGACCCGGTAGAAATCGTGTGTGTAATGTTAATATACACACACGACTGTAAACTGGAGAGACGAACACACACGACAGCAAGCATTCTAATAATGAACCCGGGTGTAGTGTCT